AACAAACAAAGAAAAACAAGAAACTAGGGAGATGATGATGATAATAATAATTAATAATAATAATAATAATAATAATAAAGAAACAATGCAGAGAACAGAAAATAATTTTAAAATAATGTATAGTTAGTATAGTCTCAAGGAAAAGATACTGAATTCATAAAACAAGAACAGGAAGCTCTGGAAAAGAACATTTAGAGAACAAGAAAGAGAACCTGGAAATCTAATAGCAGAAATATTAAAATTTGGCAATGTTAAAATTTGTAAGGTAAGTTGAAGAAATTTCCCTGAAAGATCTAGAGTCTCTAACATCTTTCTAAGAAAAATTCCAGAAAGAAAAGAACAGAGAAAACAAAGGGAATTGTCCATGAAATATTACAAGAAATTTTTCTAGAAATGAAAGAATTTCCAGATTGAAGGACCAGTAGAATAATCAATGCCATTAATTAAAAACTACCCCCACCAGAATATATAACCATGGTTATTTCAGAACACTTGGAATAAAGAAAAGATCCTTACGGCTTTCAAAGAGGAAAAAAAGTCTTAGCAAAATAGCAAAAGTCAGAATGGCATCAGATTCTCAAGAGCAACCCTTGAAACTTGAAAGGTAAAATGACTTCAAAATTCTGAGGAAACAAATGGCAGTTCCATATTTAATCTTTTGAGGAAACGCCATACTGTTTTCCATAATGGCTGCACCAGTCTGCATGTCCACCAGCAATGTACTAGGGTTCCCTTTTCTCCATATCCTCTCCAGCACTTCTCATTTGTTAATTTGTTGATGGTAGCCATTCCAGCAGGCATGAGGTGATACCTCATTGTCATTTTAATTTGCATCTCTCTGATGATCAGTGACTTTGAGCATTATTTCATATGTCTCTTGGCCTTCTGTATGTCTACTTTAGAGAAGTGTCTATTTAGGCCCTTTGCTCATATTTAAATTGGATTACCTTCCCTTTGTTAAATTGTATGAGTTCCTTATATACTTTGGATAATAACCCCTTATCAGATGTATCATTGGCAAATATGTTCTCCTATACAGAGGGTTTCCTTTTCGTTTTATTGATGGTTTCTTTTGCTGTGCAGAAGCTTTTTACTTTGATGTAGTCCCATTTGTTTACTTTCTCTTTTGTTTCCCTTGCCCTAGGAGATATATCAGCAAACATATTGGTCTGAGATATGTAGAGATTTTGCTGCCTATGGTTTCTTCTAGGATTTTATGGTTTCATAACTTACACTTAAGTTTTTTATCCATTTTGAGTTTATTCTTGTGTATGATGTAAGTTGGTGGTCTAGTTTCATTTTTTTGCATATACCTGTCCAATTTTCTCAACACTATTGAAGAGACCATCTTTACTTCATTGTATGCTCTTGCCTCCTTTGTCAAATATTAATTGTGATCCCACTTATAGGAATATATCCTAAGAAACCCAAAACACCAATCAGAAAGAATGCATTCACCTGTATGTCCCTAGTAGTGCAATTTTCATCAGTCCAAGTGCCCATAAGATGAGTAGATTAAAAAAAAAAAAAAAAAAAAAAGCTGTGGCACATTTACACCATGGAGTACTATGCAGCAGTAAAAAAAAAGGATCTCTTATCCTTTGAGACAGCATGGAGGGACCTGGAGTGTAATATGCTAAGCAAAATAAGCCAGTCAGAGAAAAACAAGTATCACATGATCTCACTCATATGTGGAATCTAAAGAACAAAATAAACTGAGAAACAAAATAGATCCAGAGACACAGAAACATAGAACAAACTGTTGAATCTCAGAGGGAAGGCGGGGGGGTGTGGTGTGTGGGAGGAGATTAACCAAAGAATTTATATGCATATATGCATAACCCATGGACACAGACAATAGTGTGGTGAAGGCCTGGGGTGGTGGGGGCAGATGTGGGCTAGAAAGAGTTAGAGGGGAGAAAAAGGGGACACTTGTAATACTTTCAACAATAAAGATAAAATTTTTTAAATTCTGTAAAACATGATTTCCAATTAGGAATTCTAAGATCCGCCAAAACCATTGCTCAATTGCAAGCGTAAAATAAAGACCTTTTAAGACAGGGTCTCAAAGATTTCTCTCACACCCTTTCCTTGGTAAACTACTAGAGAACGCGTTTTACCCAAATGGGAGTATAATCCAAGGAGGATTATAGGACACAAACAATAGGAGATTCAGAGAGGACAAAAGTGAGGAGACTTCCAGGGATAGTGGTGAAATGAAGTTCTAGGCTGACAGCTGTGCAGAAGGTCTAGAGCAGCGAATCTCAACCTGTGGGTCGCGACCCCTTTGGGGGTCGAACAACCCTTTCACAGGGGTCGCCTAAGACCATCGGAAAACACATATATAATTACATATTGTTTTTGTGATTAATCACTATGCTTTAATTATGTTCAATTTGTAACAATGAAAATACATCCTGCATATCAGATATTTACATTATGATTCATAACAGTAGCAAAATTACAGTTATGAAGTAGCAACAAAAATAATTTTATGGTTGGGGGTCACCACAACATGAGGAACTGTATTAAAGGGTAGCGGCATTAGGAAGGTTGAGAACCACTGGTCTAGCAGGGGTGGGCATTTTTTGACTCGAGGGCCACGATGGGTTCTTAAACTGGACCGGAGGGCCGGAACAAAAGCATGGATGGAGTGTTTGTGTGAACTAATATAAATTCAAAGTAAACATCATTACATAAAAGGGTATGGTCTTTTTTTTTTTTTTTTTTTTAGTTTTATTCATTTCAAACGGGCTGGATCTGGCCCGCGGGCCGTAGTTTGCCCACGGCTGGGTCTAGAGTGACAGACCAGGCTGCAGCAGGGGGACAGAGGGCTCCAGAAATGACCTGATATGCTCAGATGTACTGTAAAGCAAGACTGCTCTGTAGAAGAGCTTTGGAATATGTTAATGATAAGTATAAAAGAGCTCCAGGAAAACAAACAGTTGTATAAGAAACGATGTGGGCTCAGGTATAAATAATGCTTATAGAGTTCTAAGTAAACATTGAACACCGATTTCACCAAAATGGTGATGATATCACTGTATTGAAATGATAAGCAGAGGGAGGAGAGGGAAGGGAAAGAGAGCTAAATTCTATCTGCCATTATAAGTGTCAAATGATAATATCTAAAATGAGAAATTTGGAAATAGCAGTATAAGCATGTTAATTTAAAAATTTGAGTTAAATATCAAAAGAAACATCTGAGAGTTAAAAGTGGTTCCTTCTGAAGAGCAGTTTCTAAGAGTGAAGACGGATAGGACAAAGATCCTGCTTTTTACGAAAAGCCATAAACTATTTGAGGATTTCGAGTGTTAAATTGTTTTATTGTTTTTGTTAAATTCTTTTAAAACTATAGGATTGTCAACATACAGTACACACAAATATATATATTCATAGAGATACATAATACACGCATGTTTACTGTATATTGTGTAAAATGTATTATAATGATCAAAACGAAATTAAAAACAAAATGAAAAACATGCCCATGAGAAAATCAGATATTTATATTTACGTATATTTTTTATTTTTAAATTTTTGTATTGATTTCAGAGAGGAAGGGAGAGGGAGAGAGATAGAAACATCAATGATGACAGAAAATCGTTGATCGGCTGCCTCCTGCATGCCCCACACTGGGGATCAAGCCCACAACCCAGATATATGGCCTGACTGGGAACCAAACCCGTGACCTCCTTACTCCTAGGTCAATGCTCAACCACTGAGCCACACCAGCCAGGCCTGTTTATTGATATTTACATCTCAACTGTAACATTCAAGATAGTTAAAACTGTATGATCTGGATGCTAAAAATAATTCAAAAGAAGAGTTATAATTTCCTAAGGTCACCACTTTGAAAAAAATAACAAAAAATTTGAATGTACATGTTTTAGTATATTTGCTCTAAATAATTGGCTCAGGAATTTACGGTGAAAAATCAATCACTAGTTAAAACTGATATGCATTCGGAAAAAAATAAATCATTAGGTCATAATGGATGACAGGCTGAACCAGTCAGCAAAGTTGTAACTGCTTGAAAGAGCCAGTGTAATTCTAGAAAGGCAAGATTACATAACACGGAAGTGAGACAATCACCTCATTATGCTCAACACATTATACTCTTACTAAACAATCATGCTCAGATCTGGATCTCACAGCTTGAGAAAGATACAGACAAGCTGGAGTGGACTCAGATATAAGTTAAAAGCAATTAAAAAGCTCAATACCAAGAAGACCTATGGCAACATCCAAGGAAGCTCCTAGTCTGGAGACAAAAAGGCAAGGAGTAAACTGTCTCCCAAATGCCACCCAATAGGATAACCCAACAAAAACCTAAGGACCTCTGCTACAGATGGAGAGATGGGGAGAGAGATGGGGAGAGAGAAGGGGGCGGGGGGAGAGAGAACGCACGCTAGTGTGCCTAAAATATAAAAGGAAGATCTTAAATTATAAATAACAGATTTTCAGAGTTCTGGTTGCCCACAATAGAGATAAATGACCAAAGACAAATAACAGTCTCCTTCTTTAGTGATCTTGGAGAGGCAGAGAGAAAGGGAGAGGACTCTATCTCACATTTTTTCCATAAGGCACCCACAGGAATGCCAGGGAATAAACTAAGATTTATTGAATTCAAGGTTCAGGAATTACACAAAGAAAGGAAAACCAGTTTTATCTTTATTTACAAAAATGTACCAAGTAAAACCTTAAAGTTGCCTTGTTACCACAAATCCATTGAAAAATTAGGCTGCAAGGACCACTTCCTTGCTATAACTAATCTTTCACAACTGTACATAAGTAGCCTAAAACCTCAGAAGTTTGCTTAATTTGCAAGTCATCCGATGGCTGTTCCAGTTAGCCTGAAGTGTTTAATTTTTACCACTCAGAAAGTAATAAACAAACCATGAGAAATTAATTATTTGATCCAGCCCTACCTCCTTTTAGCTTAGAATTAACTGCTCCATTTTCCACAAACTGGAAAGCTGGACTTATTCCCTCTTTACCTTCAGTGCTGAGAAGAACATGTGGTCCACTGCCATAACTAAGGCTTTTAATCTTCTTTCCACATAAGGCTTCTAGCTTTTTGGGTGTAAGTGTACTCTGGTTGTCTCCAGTTCCTAGACAGTTACTATAGTTCAGTCCAAATACAAAGACCTGGAAAACAAATAGTTCTGTTTGAGATGTTTGGCCTAAAGTTACACAAAGACTCCCTTCTTCACCCTGAAAATGAGACACACTCAAGTTTAGTTTGACAGCTCGGTGGGTGGGAAGAGACTAAAAAAGTTATTAAGAAAAAGTCAACCTCTGCTGATGTTTAGGATATTGGCTATACTATGAAACCCAAAGAGTAGTAGGGGTGGAGTGGTATTAAATCAAGAAACTGAAAGAAAAGGCAAATTACATCAAAGATACAGTCTTCTTGAATTTCAGGTTCTCTTATCCCTGACCTTTCTCCATCTTTAAAGCTCAATCTCAAAATAAGCCCTAAAATTAAACTCTGGATTTTAAGAGATTCTTTCTTACCTCATCATCTTCAGTAACGTACAGTGCTTCATTGGCTGAGGTGCCAAAGACACAGGCTTTCCGAATAGATGCAATTTCTTGAGGTGAGAGCAGAGTGAAGATTGGCCACTTTCCTACATCCACCATGACTCTGGCTTCAAGCAATTCCTATAAATATGCTGGCATCTCTGTTGTAGCAAACAAAAAGGAATCCAAGAAAAAAAATTAAACAACCACTAAACTAATTGTTAAAAGACACTGTTAATAAAATAAAACAAAAGCTAATTCCAGAATAAACTGTCCCCCTACCTTTGGTTAAACAGACTGCTCGCTCACCCCAGCAACGTGTGTAACCCTTCCTGCACCTTCAGACCTGGGCCTTTTCCTATGATGGGGAGGAAACTTGCTTCCCAGTTGACTAATATAAGTCAGTGCTAATCTGTTACATACATGCTTACATGCAAGCTGACAGCAATAATGGAGGGAAGACATGCAAACTGGATGAAACCAGGGTTTCTCATCGGGTATATTTTCTCCAGGAGGATGACTGTCATGGTGATTGTGTGATTGTGTTTGTGTGTGTGTGTGTGTGTTATGAAAATGAGAATCATTATCTCTACCTCCTCACTCTCCCACTACCTCTGCCAGAATGTACTAAAAGACCCCACCCCATGTGGAATATCACTGCCACACCGAGCCACTGTTAATAAAGGGAATGGGACACCCCTCATATGGTTTAGGGTGGCAAAAATATTAAGAAACACTAGTTTAACATTTACTGGATGAAACCATAAAATAAAACATTATGTTCTGATCCTAATTTACATGACCACATTTCCTACATTATATATAGACCATATTTCATTTCACATTGAGAAACATTATTTGAACACAGACAAGACAATTTGCCCTAAATCTGGTGCTAGAGGTGATGACTATAGCCTTTATACAAATAGCAATTAGCTTAAAAATACCCAATCCCAATAAAAAGTAGAGAGATGTATAAAACTAAAGTTGATCTTTTTAAGGAGTTTTACACAAAGAATCCTGGTCATGGCTCCAATTCTTCTAGGGTTAAAAAGTAATTCTACAAATTCCAGGGGGCTGCACGAGCACAAAACCCTATCATACCAAGTGAATTTCCATTTTGGCTCTCACCTCTGGAAACTGAAATAGAACCAAACAGTTGATAAATACAACCACAGTTTCCTACTCACTCTGTTCTCAGACCTCTAAATATAGCCAAGAGAGGCAGGCCCAAGAACAAGGTCCTTTTCTGGCTCCAGCACCTATGACAGCACCTATAAAGCGAGCCTCAGAGCTTGAGCACGCTTAGCCAAGGCCTCAGTTTCCACCATCCAGAGTGATTTTTTCCATCAGCATCAATATGGATGACAAAGATCGGGTTCCAGTTATGCCCCAAGTATCACACCACATAGTCAATAAGCTTTAAACACTATTACCTGTCATTGCACAATCAGACTCCTGGAATGACATTTGAATATTCTGAAAATTGTGCACCCAAGGGTGTGTATGTGTGTGCGCACACACTTGCATATGTGTGTATGTTGGTGGGAACAGGTAAAGGGTGTGGGAAAGGGTAAAAACTAATATGTAAATATGTTAAAAAATTTTGTTTCAAATAGTACAAAACAGTATATGAAAGTAAATCTCCCTATCCTCCCCTTCTAGACCCTCTCTTCAAAGGCAATCACTGTTAGTAGCTGTTTTAATTCACTCCAAAGATAGTGTATACTTACATGAGCATTATATGTAAGTATGTGTGGAAGCTTTCCCACCCTACTTAACAGCACATCTTACAGATCATTCTGTAGAGTTACTTCACTTTTCGATGGTACTATAGAGGATAACAATTTACCTGTTTCCACTGAGACATTTAAGTCACTTTCAGCCTTTGCTAACATGAACAATACTGCAATTATTGTTTGCACATATTATTGAATATACATGTCTTTTATACATAAATTCCTAAGACAGTCTCCTAAAAATGTACTTGCCAGTTCAAAATTCAATAGCCAGTTTGCCTTTAATAGCTATTTCAAATGGTCCTCTACTGAAGTAGTACCAATGTATAAGATAACCATCAATGTGTGGCAGCAACTGTTTACGCACACCCTTACTACACAGTGTATTATCATGATGTCTCAGTTTTGTTTAAACTTGAATTCCTCTTATGATGAGTGAAGTAGGGCATCATTTTTAGAAATAATCACAATTATAGCAACAATAACAAATGACATTTCCTGAGCACTCTGCACCAAGCACTGTTCTAAATAGTTTACATTTATTAATTCATTTAATCCTTACTTTAGAGACAAGGAAACCAAGGCAAAGAGATATTAAGAATGTGCTCAAACTAGTAAGTGGCAGAGTGAGGCCCTGAGCCATGCAGTCCAGAGCCAGCATGTGTATTCTTCACCTCTCAGTCTCAGATGCTTAAGGGCCCACATACCATCCTTCTACATGAAGTCCCTATTTTTTCTACTAGACTGTTGTTCTTTTCTTTGTTCTACATTTATTATAAGTGTTCATTGTATAAGAAGATTGTCTTAAGTGCTTTTAGAAGTAACAAAAAGATGCCCTCCACAATGGACTTTGTGCCTCATACAAAACAGACAAGGAATATCAAGAAGTAAAACAGTGTAGATGTCTATAAAGTAGAAAAATTCCAAGAAAATCCAGAAGCAAATTTTCCTAGAATATAAACCATATCAAAGTTAGGCTTCAAGCCTAACCAGTGTGGCTCAGTGGTTGAGCGTCGACCTATGACTCAGGAGATCGCTGTTGGATTCCTGGTCAGAGCATAGGCCCTGGTTGTGGGCTCGATCCTCAGTAGGTGGTGTGCAGGAGGCAGCCGATCAATGATTCTCTCTCATCATTGATGTTTCTATTTCTCTCTCCCTTTCCCTTCCTCTCTCTGAAATCAATAAAAACATATTCTTTTTAAAAAGTTAGTCTTCAAAATTTAATATTTAATGTAATATAGAATTTAATTTTAAATAAATAAATAGGGAGGAAGGGGGAAATTAATTAGCCAAAATATATGATTCGCCATCTTTAAAATTACAATACAAAGTTTTATTACCACTCAAAATTATATAATGTCCTGACAGCAGTATAATTATTCTGAAATTATTAATTAGTTACAGGGCAACTCTGCCCCAAGGGTGTGGCAATCTACAGAAAACTCAAGCTAACTTTCATAATGATGGCTTATTATATGAACTGAGTTTACCCACATTGCTAAATTACTCGAAGCTTTATTTTACAAGATATTTCTCCAAAGACTTGTAATTTAAGAGTCCATGTAAAAACCAGGTCCTCCACCTACACCATGTCTGCACCCATCATAAAAGCAGAAAGCATCACCAGTAGCATGGTGGAAAGGAATGAGTCCTGAGGCCTGTGCTTTAGCTCTAGATTTACTTTTAATTACTTGTAATCAATCAGAGTGGCATGCCACTTATCTTTTTGAGCCTGGGTTTCTAAAAATTATCTTCTGTAAAAATCTATAATTTTAAGTTTAAGGTGAAATGAAGAAGCTATGGGGGATTTTTGAAAGCCTGAGAACAAAAGCAATAATGTTGGTCAAGCAAGTAATTACTCCTAGCAACACAAGAAAATAAAGAGCAGGAAGGAAGAAACTAACAATGATCAGGAACCTGCTTTGTTGCCCTGCTGTGTGGCTCAGTGGTTGAGCATCAACCTTTGAACCAGGAGGTCATGGTTCGATTCTCAGTTAGGGGACATGCCTGGTTTGAGGCTTGATCCCCAGTAGGAGGCATGCGGGAAGCAGCCAATCAATTATTCTCTCTCATCATTGACCTTTCTCTCTCTCTCTCTCTCCCCCTCTCCCTTTCTCTCTAAAATCAATTAAAATTTTTTTTTTAAAAAAAAGAACCTGCTTTGTTGTAGACACTGTGTTAGGTAGTTTCACATACACTATTTCATTTAATCTTCACAATACTCTTATAAGGAAGAGACCATAACCCATTCTTAGCAACAGATGAAGAATGAGACTCAAAGGTGAAATGACTTCCCAAGGACACAGGGAAGTAAGTGGCATAGCCAGGATTCAACTCCCACCTCTCTGATTCTTCTTATAGAAACATTAGTCCTGGCCTTTCCAATGGCTAACCTTCTCCAACATTATTTCTGTCTGATTTTATCGAGTCTCATAAATGTATACCAGCAAGTGTTTTAAAAATGCTTCAAATATAAAAAGCACTTCCCAAAAAACACCCCCAAATGCGCCTCTGTCTAAATTTGCCTGGTTAAGCCTCACAAATGTTATTCATTCCTTCATTCTTCCAAAAGCCATTGTGAGGCAGGCCAGTTCCTCAGGGAGCTCACAGGACTGTGTGAGCACAAGGCACTGTGTGAGACTGCTAAGGTACAAAATATGTCTTCATTAGACTATGCTCAGCCTGGCAAGTGATGACATGAACAAGGGATCCTCAGAATTCAGACAAGGTTCTCCAAGAGGTTCTGTGGAGGTATTAAAACCCAGGATGTGCTATGTACAGAACAACAGATCACAGTCTTGAGCATATAGCATATCTTTAGTAAGGCAGCACAGTGTAAATGTAAGCATAAATACCGTACCACCAAAATTTTCTAATTAACTCAAAATTACCACCATCATCATTATAAGTAAATTATTGTGGTGAGATGTTTAATTACTCCATTTTCCTGGGGGCAGTGGCAGTGTTTAGAAAATCATACTGCATGGATACATGAAACAGATCAACAACTGTCAGAGAGGAGGTGGAGAGGGGACTGTATGAAAGAAGGTGAAGGGATTAGCCAAAGAACATATAGGCATAACCCATAGACACGACAAAAGTGTGGTGATGGCCAGAGATAATAGGGGGTGGGGGCTGTGTGGAGGCAGGCAAAGGGGGCGGGAATATGGGAACACCTGTAATAGTGTCAACAATTTTTAAAAAAGAAGGAAATCATACTGAGTATCATGATTCTATCAACTTCTTACTCTTACTATTTGACTCTCTACCACAAAATTATAAAGAGTACTACCTAATCAAATGTACATAACAAATGTATGATAATGCGAACAAAATAAAAGCACATTAATTCTTTTGCTGACGATGACCCCAAATACCAAGAATGCTGGGGGAAAGCATAAAGAACAATACAATCATGACCC